TATATGTATATATATATATATAAGGGTTTCATGGAACCGCATACTCTACCCAATGTTCGGTAGGTCCAACACAAAAGGGCTCGTATTTTTCGAGCAGTTCTCCCAAAAATTAGGCAGCTACATACAATGTTTGTTCTGTGAATGTTTCCTTTTGTGATCGGTCTAAATCGTTCAATTTTATAAACAACAGCAATGCTTTTTTGAGCGGGTAATTCGATAAAAGACCCCAAGAATCAAAAAGTAAACTTCGAGGCAAATGGTCGCAGCTATCAATTGATAATAGCTATATTCATAAAATGAAATATCACGATCACAAGCAGGTGGCGATGTCTTTTAATTTTTTCGATTATAGTTGCTTGGACCAGCTGAAATTTTCGCGTCTTTTTCAAGGACGGAAAACGTTCTGGAATATTAATTCTTAGACAGGTCTGCCAAAATTAGACACATAGAAGGTTTTAACGGTTGCGTCTGCCACGCAAACACTTCATCCCATATGCTTTGTCACTGAAACAAGTGAAAACATCGCCAAATAATACATTCTGAATCCAGTAACTCTATCAGATGCACGCCACTGATGATTCCTCACAAGCAATAAGAAGCTTTACAGTGCTTCTCAGCCTTTTATCATGGGTTTATTAACAGGATAAAATCTCTCGTGAATCTGCGATAAACTGCGCCATTTGAGATATTACTGCAAAATTATTTGATGGTGCCCCTCATCAACAGGCCAAATCGTTCATAATTTCCCTGCCCAACACCCACATTAGCAGTGCAAAAACACCTACAATCTACTGACATTTGGTCCTTTCCATAAAACCAATGGATTTTGAGAGGTCTAGAATCACCGTAAAATTGTTTCATCCCCGTTGGAAAGCACTAGAATTACGCGTCTCATCACCACGGCAGTACATGCGGCCGTTCCTTGATTCTTTTGATGAAACAGTTTGAACTGAACATAGATTGACTGACCAAGAGCGACAGTCAATTCAGTATTTTCTTTTGAGATAGGACACCTCATTATTGCATTTGCTATGTGTTTCTACCATAAAGACTGATATAAGCTCTCCTGTCACAAGAAGGGAGTTGTGTGATAATTTTGCGTCGCCCAACACATAACGGAACAAAATGAGAGGCGTCAAGCCCTCGGAAAGCAATCAATTTTTGTGATGAGTGATTTGCCTGTGTTTATGGGTAGCGCCGTAAACAAACCAGTGTCTCAGATCTCATTGCAAACTGTAGAACGTTTTTTCCAAACAAAATCCTCGAAACTAATAAAAGTCTATTGGTTGTCAAAGTGATTCAGATTCATCAGCAAGAACGGACAAATTTGGATTTTTAACTAGAGTGACTGAGATCTCGGAAACACATTGTGCGCTCACTAAATCTTGATGTCCTTTGTTGCATTCAGTCGTTTGTTTTAGGCAATAGACCGAATTGCTGGGTCAACCAAATCTCGTCTCTTTTCCCGCCAGAAAAATGTTCTGCTATTGTGGGTGAGCTTGCAGTCAACTGTTTACCGCTCGTCTTTCACCACCGGTTTATCAAACGAAGAATTGATTATCAACCGAAAAATAAGAGTGCTTCGTGTCAAAGTTAATTAGATCGACTTTAATGTGAATTGTTTTTACCTACCACGAGAAAGGCAATCAACATAATCAATCAGTTAAGTTTAACAGAATTCTAAGCAGATCTTATCGGTTTCGCTCGCAATACGGTTCGGACCATTGGAAATTTGCCCCAAAATAAACAAACCAAATGTCACTTCCACAATTTTAGGGCCCAGTGTTTCCCCGTTATAACACTTCAAATTACTATGAAAACATAATGGAAACTACTTACAAGGTTATTGGTTGTTGATCAGGTGATCAACAGCCACCTGATCAACAACCAATAAACTCACCCGAGCTACCAATATTTCAAAAAATTACTTACACGGTTGCTGAAAACTGTTCGACAGCCCACGACCGGTTTCGCCCTCCTTGATGTTCATCAGGATCGCACAGTCCTCAAGTTCCCGTCAATCTTATATTCTACTTGAACCCAAATTTGAATGATTGCGACAAATACGTTCATTTGCAAACACCAATTTAAAACACTTAATTTGTGACAGTATACATGTCCACATAAGCCATTCAGATAGATGGAAGCATCCGAAACATTGCGCTTATACTCGAATTAGTTTCAAAGTATCCCAAAGGAAGTGTGAATTCATATGATGTGTGAGACTTCCTCCTAAAAAGTCGTTACTTGAGGAACTAATCATAACCTAGGGAAATACACTCACTTGCAAACAAATTTGTTTTTGCGAGAGAGCCATATGGAGCCCAGCTGAATCCTTCTTTCGTGATGTTTCTAGGAAACCGAATGTGGTGCACCACGCAACCTCATGTTTCAGTTGCTACGATATTCGAGATATCACGATTCATGTATATTCGTAATGCACTACTCATAAGGTTGCCGGAAATTTTTCGACAGCCCACGACCGGTTCCGCCCTTCTCGAGGCTCATCATATAGGCGCAGTCCCAGAGTTTCCGTCAACCTTATATCCTAATTGGGACGAAATTAGCAAAATACACTCATTTTCAAACATCACAAACGAGAGGTTCAGCTTGGTTCCAGGTGAGTCTTTCGCAAAACCAAATGTGTTTGCGAATGGGTGTATTTCGCTAATTTCGTGCAATTTGTTTTCAAGTAGAACACAAGATCTACGGAAACCCTAGGTCTGCGCCTATTTGATGGGCCACAAGAAGGGTGAAATCGGTCGTGGGCTGTAGAAAAAGTTTCAGCAAACTTATAAGTAGTGCATCACGTATAAACTAATCAGAACGTTACCATTTGATGTGGATTTTGCGACTAAAAGATGAGTACAGCCAAATTCTGTCTAAGTGTGAGTGAAACAATACAGATCAGAGTTCTCTGGTCGGAAAGCTGTTAGCCGATGGCAGAACAGCTACACACTGCTTCGTCGCTCTAAACATCACCAGTAGTCACTTATAGGGCAAACTCTCCATCCAGTATTTTCAGTAAGATTTTAATTACATTTATTGTTAGTTCTACGGAAAGAACTGACTGTAATTTAGCGTTCAATGTGGTTTATTATTCATGAATTTTACTGGCACGGCCAATTGCATTTTATCTACCTGGCTTTCAGAGTGCATGTCAGCAAGTAAGTTGCTAGCCGCGTTTGTGTTTAAGAGCTATGATCCCGGGCATTTATAGTGTGCACTCTAAATATGGCTGGCTTGATGCAAATAACTGAATGGGGGAAGATATAATTGCAATCTTTAAAACAGATTGAATGAAACTAATTTTCCCGTGGAAAGATCGTATTGGCTTGAAGAAACATGTCCCCTTAGAATATTTGACTGCATGTCACAAATTCAGAGAGTGAGGTAAAAAACACGCGGCCTGATTGGTAGGCTGCTAAATGTACACGATTTCATCATAATCACACCTGATTTTCCACGTACTCCTGGCCCCATAAAACAGGGACTTATAAGAAATGATGTAGGCCAACAGATACATTCTAATTACTAGGTGCACATGGAATGTGGAGAATAACTGCAACAAGCAGTAAACATTTTGTATAAAATTCATCAGCTCTGCAAAAAGCTGATTTTGAAAGCTTCGGTGCCTTAAGAGACGAATATTTAACTTCCAGACACACTAATTAGTCCTAGGTGAGGTAATTTTTTAACTGACCATCAGCGATATACACGAACTAGATAGGCTTCTAGTTTATACGCTTGATGAATCACTTGACAGAAGAAAGAATTCGTCACGTTTGCATGCGGCGGTTAGCTGACACGAAAACAGACGGAGTAAGTAACAATTAAACGAGAACGAAAATGAGAGGATAAACTGTATATAATAACCTAATCGGTTTACCAGGGAGAGACTTACCACAAAATTTGTTTTGTGTCAGATCACCATTGGAGGCAATATACCGGCAAAATACACTAGTGTTCAGCTGCCACATGACAATAGAGGTGAGCTTTTATCCCAGACGGTCGCATTTACTGAATAAGAAAAGTGTGTCCTATAGTGACAGAGGGAATCTAGAAAAATAGCTGCTGGCCAAAATAATATCGGGCGCATGTCCTTGGTATGATCTCAGAATTGTGGCTTACAGTCTGATCAAACCTCCCTTGGGTTTGGCTTCAGCGATGTTTTAAAATACAGAACAATCAAAAATTATGGGCAAAACAGCTTTGTCTTTGCCCCCTGACCTGGTGGTGAATATTACTGATATGAGGTGAAAGTAGCATGCGGATAAGTGTTAAAACTTTATTGCGGCATGTGGTGGATGGTTGACACGGTTGACACGATCACTTTGCGATATATATATATATATATATATTACTCAAACAGTTTCAGGTAAA